TTTTTGGGTCAGGTCAGGTCACTGACCTATGACGTCATAAGTGAACCTCTGCACGGTCTTCAGATGTCGCAACTTCGCAACGCCCTCACTGCCAGAGGAGATGTCACAGGGAAATGAAACTTGCAGGATCTAGTATCCATTATGAGTCTCACAACTTGTATATCTCGGATTTTTCCTAAAGGTCATATGAGGTCAGGTCATTTTCGTGACCTCACCATTATAAGTCAATGGGGAAAAATTCAAACTGCTATTCTGGCGCCGGGAACGATCTCCCACCATCTCAATCACACAGAATCGTAATTTGATGCACTCCTTGCAAGGTTAGATGCGTCACTTTTGCAATGTTGACCTTGCGTGACGTCATTTATGACGTCATCAAGGTCATATTAGTTTTTCGTCAATAACTCTTGATCAAATTGAGCTAGCGAGTCGGGGAAGCCACCAATGGACTCAGGAAGACCTGCCGAATCGAATGATATGCGACATGACCCCTTTCGACCAACTTCGTGACCTTAGGGTGCTGACCTGACCTTGACCTGAGGTCAACACCCCAAGTTGACCTGACCCGAACAAAAAGTATATCATTCGACGCGCCTGAGCGAGGCGAACATGATGCTGCCAAAATCGCGGCGCTGCGGCCGTTTTTTGCGAAGTTATTCACCAAAAACTAAACCGTACCTTGGGGCACTTGACCTGACCTCAGAGGTCACCGGTTGACCTAGGACCTTAAAATCGGGTACCAATCTCTGCGTCTCGTAACGGCGCACACGCTCGTTTTTTCCGCGACGCGCTAGCTCCACCAGGGGCGAAACGGCGAGGGGGGGGTCGTACCCGCCCCCCCCTCGGCCGGCGCGTATGTAGAAAACCAATAGGTCCGGCGAGGGTTAATTCCGCTTTTTTGATGCGCCTGGCCCACTGTGCGCCGGCCGCTGGGGGGGGGGGCATAAAGTTGCCCCCCCCTTTACTTCTGCGACGATATCGTCGCAACGCGAAGAGATAGAGAAGCGAAACTTTGCACACATCTTCCTGAATACCTAGCCGAGGGTGTGTCCAAATTTGGTGTCGATCCCATTTGAAATGACGTCACAGTGACGTCATAAGTGAAATTATAGATTTGCGACTCTCATATTCCTCACGATACATCACATATATGGGACCGAATATAAAGGGCCGATTATTGGTCAGAAACTAGATAAGAGTGTAGTAAGATGTTTTAGGATGACAGCAGGTGCTGTCTAGTTCATTTACAGTAGAGTTTCATGCTCAGCGTCATCAGAAACGGTCCATGTCGGAAAACGACAAAACTTTATGACGTCACTGTGACGTCATCTTAGGTGCTACAACCACCAAACTTTCCTCAAACATTGCCTAGGTATTCATTTGAAGCTATGCCAAGTTTCACGTTCGTAGCTCATCAGGTTTCGGAGATATTTCACAAAACGTAAAGGGGGGGGGGCAACTTTATGCCCCCCCCAGCGGCTCGTGGGTTAATTATGAAGATGTGCAAGTGAATGGCCAAAAATATATATATTCTGAAGAGGCCAGATCCTCTTTTAGTCCGTGAAATGCACCCCGTGTCATTCGAGTGCATAGTTTTCAAATGCCAACGTTTTTCCTGAAATGTGTAAAAAATGCCCGTTTTCTCGAGATTAGAGGCTATTTCTTTGCACGTGGTACATACCTAAGAAAAAAACTTATTGCATACGATAGGCACATCTCTTCTGTATCCATCAGTGAAAACCACATGTCGCTGCGACTTACGGTTACCGAGATATAAGCTCGGGAAAGGAGCGCTGCAGGCCCGATTTTCGCCCGTTGGCGGTTTTCGCCGGTCACGTGCTAAGCCTATGGGAGCACCCTTTTGCACGTGCCGACGGCGCACCCCTGGCCCGATCACGCCCAAATTTTAATCCAAAGGCCGCCCACGCCCACAGATTCGGCATGCCAAATTTCAAGTCGCTACGCAGCGCCGTTCTCGCGCAATTAGACATAATAGGCATGACACACGGATGGATGGAGAACGCACGGACGACTTATAATTCATAATATAGATAGATATATACAGGTTTGATTGAATATGACAGCTAGTTGAGCGTTGATGATCTTCTATTTGGTACTTTCTAGCAGTCGAAATACTTTTCTTTCTTCATCACACAATCTTGACAGCACATCACGGGTATTTATTTGCAACGTTTCACTCATTCGATGAGCATCATCAGGCATATGTGTAATACAAGATATACATACGAATAATACGATGATCACAAGTAAATAAAAAGTATGCGGAGTCATATGTTAAAACAATATTCGTATTCGGCGTTCGATTATAAATGTACAGGTCGATGTTAACGTTAGGGTGTGAAAAGAATGCGTTTATGTCATCAGCGTGTTGTTTTTAATGACACAAGAACACGTTCGGATGTTTTAGGAGACACTTCGTAGACACAAGTACAAAAACATGCATATCGAACACTCAAAAACTCACAAATCCAAAACGACAAACCACATACCATGCTTTTCGGCCACTGTCCCGGGACAGGTACTAGCGGGCACCGAGGGGGCCCCTTCAAAGAGCTGAAGTTTTCCCCGAGCGTTTACCTGCCGATTTATGGTGGGATCGCAGTCCCGTATGAAAACTGCTTCAAGTACTTGCAGTTTATGTGGGATCGTACATCGGCTCAGAATTTTTGTGTTCATCACCATATCTTCGCGGGTAAGTGGCATGGCGTGATGGTCACGAAGGTGTCTTTTTGGGCCCCCGTCCTGTAAATGCATCGTGATTCTGCGTCCCAGTGTCGTCCGTGTGTGACCGATATAGTAACAGTTGAGCTGGCGCGCGCAGTCGCCGTGGGTGCAAGTGTACTGATATACCACATTGGTCTGTTTTAGAAGGGACGAGTCATGACTGAGGTTGTTCTTCATCACGAGACCAGATACCTTAGGACTTTTGTAAAAAATCGTGAGCCTGAGTTTATCCTCGGCATTCGCTGGGTCACAGTTCCGGTCGATAATGTCACGTAGTACTCGTTCGTCTGTTTTGTACGCATCGTGCATTTGGTTTTCATAGAATAGGTTGTAGATATTGCCTTTAGCCTGGTCACATGTCGGGGTTTGCGGAGCATGGTACTTAGAGAGGATGCGCTGAATTTCAGCATCAATGATCCTCTGACTGTAGTTGTTGCTGACGAGTAGTGTCTGATCCTATCAAGCTCCTGGTGGACAAGCTCCCATGAAGAAGAATGCTTAACAGCGCGGTAAATGTAGGCACTTATAACACTCTTCTTATACCGGTCGGGACATTCGCTTAAACCATTCAAGCAGAGGCCTAGGGCGGTTGGTTTCCGATAGACCGTGGTGTTAAAAGTAGCAGAAGGTGCATGGATGTTTACATCAAGGAACGCAAGCCTGCCATTCTCACCCAGTTCGGTAGTGAATGCGAGCACCGAGTTCCGTTCGAGCCCCTCCTTTAGGTCTTCAAGCGCTTTTTCATCACTGACATCGACAAATATCGACACATAAACTGCAAGTACTTGCAAACTGCAAGTACTGCAAGAAATCGACACATAAACTGCAAGTACTTGAAGCAGTTTTCATACGGGACTGCGATCCCACCATAAATCGGCAGGTAAACGCTCGGGGAAAACTTCAGCTCTTTGAAGGGGCCCCCTCGGTGCCCGCTAGTACCTGTCCCGGGACAGTGGCCGAAAAGCATGGTATGTGGTTTGTCATATTCATATTCATATTCATATTCATATATTTAACGAATCATTCCACGTGTGTGGCTTATTGTGCGATCCGTGTTAGGTTCAGTAACATCAGTAAGTACATGTGCAACAAAGAACAGAGAACGAGTGACCAGAGACAAAGACGAAATTGACGACTAGACGATACAAATTTCAGGGCAGTGCATGTTCATCGAGCATAGCCGTGAGACGGGCACGGGTGCGAGAAGACCTAAGTTGTTGCGGCAGGCGGTTCCAAGTTGCGGCCGCTCTGTAGGAGAAACTTCGCCGCGACATACTGAGGCGAAAACCAGGTAACTCAAGTACCCCCGTACTGCTGGTGCGCGTCGTTCGCGCACTGACATCAGCCCGGTACGAAAACAGTGCGCGGGTGGCAGTAGGAGCGCGGGGGTCATTCAAGGCCCGGTGTATGGCCATACAGTCGCGACGGCTAACTAACTCTGAGACAGTGCGCCAGCCTAATGCTGTTAGAATCGGAGATATATGGTCGCTACGCCGCGCTCCCGTGACGATCCTCGCAGCGAAATTTAGAGCTTTCTGCACGCGGCCCAGACGGTTTGCGGTGGCTCCTCCCCAGACGGAAAGACAGTAAAGGATTAAGGGGAACACATGTGCCTGGATAAGTAGTTGACGGGCATCAGCATTTAAATGATGGCGGATTTTGTGTAGACAAAAAAGAAAGGAGTTGCACTTTTTAACAACGGTGGATATATGAGCTTCCCATGTTAGATTGCTATCGATGGTAACTCCAAGGATTTTAACGGACGAGGAGGGCTTTAGAATGAAGTCATGAAAGTTCAGATGAAAGGATGTTGTCTTCTTGAGAGAATTGGGGGTACCTATTAGCAAGAGAGTGGTCTTTGAGGGGTTCATTTTTAGTGAATTTGCAGTAAAGTAAGACTGAACGGCTAGGAGAGAGTTCTCCTGGCGTGATTTAAGAGATGATAGGTCGTCTGGATGTGCTGAGTCAAGTAGCTGGGTGTCATCGGCGTAAGATACCAAACGACCGTGGGGGAGATAGGATGGAAGGTCGTTTGTAAAGATGCTAAAGAGAATCGGACCAATGAGGGATCCTTGTGGGACCCCATGGGATAGAGGAAGGAAAAGAGAGCCGCCCCTCACCAACTGTCGTCGCCCTACAAGATAGCTTTTGAACCAGGTCGGGTCAACACCGTACCACTGGAGTTTCATCAGGAGCACACTGTGATCAACACTGTCGAAAGCCTTGCTTAAATCCAATGACGTGATTGCTACCACATGTCCATCATCGACTCGTCGCGAAGTCCACTCAGTCACATCAAGGACGGCGTCCTCGGTCGAGTGGCACGGCCTGTAAGCGTATTGTGAGGGAGAAAACAAATCACATTTGACAAAATACGCGGAGAGCTGTGCACACACTGCTTTTTCACACAGTTTCGAGAGAACTGGTAGAATGGAAATAGGCCGAAAGTTGTTCGCGACATGGCGCGGTCCTGACTTATGGATTGGTACCACTAATGCCATTTTCCAAGCGGCCGGGAAGACACGGTTGACAATCGACGCATTGATGACATGAAGTAGATGTGGTCCTAGAACGGCAAAACAGTTTTTAATAGCAATCAATGGTACACCATCGACACCGACGGCTTTTGAAGAGGATAGTTCATTCAGATATTTGGAAAGCTCGGGAAGTGTCACAGGATGTAGGATCAGGTTTGTGGAGATGACACGGGGCGGCTTGTGTGAGATATCAGGCATGTCGTTGCCAATATGACGCTCCTTCAGCTCTGTGGCAATGCGGGGACCAACCGAGGCGAAGTCGCGGTTGAATTCGTCGGCTTTTTCAGTCCCTAAAGGTTCGGAGGAGCTGTCAGTCCCTGGGCGTATGGCGAAGTTTCGAATGTTCCTCCAAAAATTTTTTCGGTCCGATAGCATTGAAGAACACAAGTAATCCCGCTTGGATTTGGCAAGAAGACGCTTGACACGGTTTCGAAGGTGGCGGTACGTTGACAGATCAGACTCTGCACCAGATGCACGCCAGATTGTAAAAGCACGGTCCCGCTCGTCCATGATCTCTCGCAGTTCCGGGTTATTTTCAACCCAAGGACAGTGTGGACGGCGCGGCGTCACAGTTTTAGTTGGACAGTAAATATCAATAGCGCTGAGCCATACTTTCATGAATTCCTCTAATTTGCTTTCGATCCCCTCCGCCCGATATAGAGGTTGCCAGTCGGCCTGTAACAGATGCAGACACAGCGCGTCCCAGTTAACTTTTCGCCAGGGGCGGATCTGAAAAGACTGGCGCGGTGATTTATGACGACGGAGTGGAACGCGGGCCAAGATAGTCATATGGTCGGCTATGGGCACCGGAGGTATTGTTACCGAGCATTCCGAAATTGTCGTTTTGGATTTGTGAGTTTTTGAGTGTTCGATATGCATGTATTTGTACTTGTGTCTACGAAGTGTCTCCTAAAACATCCGAACGTGTTCTTGTGTCATTAAAAACAACACGCTGATGACATAAACGCATTCTTTTCACACCCTAACGTTAACATCGACCTGTACATTTATAATCGAACGCCGAATACGAATATTGTTTTAACATATGACTCCGCATACTTTTTATTTACTTGTGATCATCGTATTATTCGTATGTATATCTTGTATTACACATATGCCTGATGATGCTCATCGAATGAGTGAAACGTTGCAAATAAATACCCGTGATGTGCTGGCAAGATTGTGTGATGAAGAAAGAAAAGTATTTCGACTGCTAGAAAGTACCAAAAAGAAGATCATCAACGCTCAACTAGCTGTCATATTCAATCAAACCTGTATATCAGAGAATCTGCTCCCTAACTTTACATATATATATATATATATATATATATATATATATATATATATATATATATATATATATATATATATATATATATATATATATATGCAACAAACTTATGCCAGATTAAATATAGCGAACAAACTAATAAGTGACGTTTCGACTTTTTATTGCTAAAGTCTGCCTCGGAAGTTAACTCTGGCAAGCCATATCTGCTTATGGCGCAGCAAAGACAAAACAAGGCGAATCGCAAAATACACATCTACACACAACGAGCAGAAACAAGCATGGTCCTCCGGTTTCCTGGAAATTCAATTTCGGCTGTATCCACCAGGTGCAAACTACCCCACCTAGCCCTATGCATCAGCAATAAAATACGGTGGATATATCATTAATTTACCGCACCATCGTCGGTACAGTCAACGGGCGCAAATCACACAGTCGACAGACAGCCCGCAGTACACCCGTGCTCTGCGGCACAGCCTACTTGTCAGGCAGCCACTAAGGATTTATGATTAAAATGCTGTACCATCGTCAGTACAGGCATTGGGCGTAAACAACACAGTCAACAGGCAGCCCGCAGTACACCCGTGCTCTGCGGCACAGCCTACTTGTCAGGCAGGCACCAGAATACCTGACAAGAGCCCTCGATCTGACGTTTCTAAGTACTATAGCGAACTGTTTTGAAACAGAATAATGCGATAAACTGCCTTAGCGATCCGACTATATTCTTTAGCCACAGAGTAAACATTTGGCGAAAACGGTGCTGGAGCGGGCTACAACAGGCCCTCTACGTACTATCTAGTAGCGGCACAAATTAGAGGCATCTTCGAGAGGTAAGACGTCAATCACTGTCCTCTAAAGCCGGCCGTACATTGCAAGGCCCCACGCACCCAACGGTGCAACCTAAGATGGGTGACTGCGGGGACGCGCCAAGCCTAGACACGTCCCCACAGGCACCCATGGAAGACCCATGGAAGACCCATTAGAGAGATGAGATGGGTGGGGTTACTGGGAACACAGAGGGACAGTGAGGGAGAGAATGTAAGAAGGGAGGGTTAGGTATACTCTAACCGGCTGCCCGGTGCAGGTACGTTTTGGTCCGACGTCGCAGTCTTCCATGGGTGCCTGTGGGGACGTGTCTAGGTTTGGCGCGTCCCCGCAGTCACCCATCTTAGGTTGCACCGTTGGGTGCGTGGGGCCTTGCAATGTACGGCCGGCTTTAGAGGACAGTGATTGACGTCTTACCTCTCGAAGATGCCTCTAATTTGTGCCGCTACTAGATAGTACGTAGAGGGCCTGTTGTAGCCCGCTCCAGCACCGTTTTCGCCAAATGTTTACTCTGTGGCTAAAGAATATAGTCGGATCGCTAAGGCAGTTTATCGCATTATTCTGTTTCAAAACAGTTCGCTATAGTACTTAGAAACGTCAGATCGAGGGCTCTTGTCAGGTATTCTGGTGCCTGCCTGACAAGTAGGCTGTGCCGCAGAGCACGGGTGTACTGCGGGCTGCCTGTTGACTGTGTTGTTTACGCCCAATGCCTGTACTGACGATGGTACAGCATTTTAATCATAAATCCTTAGTGGCTGCCTGACAAGTAGGCTGTGCCGCAGAGCACGGGTGTACTGCGGGCTGTCTGTCGACTGTGTGATTTGCGCCCGTTGACTGTACCGACGATGGTGCGGTAAATTAATGATATATCCACCGTATTTTATTGCTGATGCATAGGGCTAGGTGGGGTAGTTTGCACCTGGTGGATACAGCCGAAATTGAATTTCCAGGAAACCGGAGGACCATGCTTGTTTCTGCTCGTTGTGTGTAGATGTGTACTTTGCGATTCGCCTTGTTTTGTCTTTGCTGCGCCAGAAGCAGATATGGCCGATATGGCTTGCCAGAGTTAACTTCTGAGGCAGACTTTAGCAATAAAAAGTCGAAACGTCACTTATTAGTTTGTTCGCTATATATATATATATATATATATATATATATATATATATATATATATATATATATATATATTTATATATATATATATATATATATATATATATATATATATATATATATATATATATATATATATATATATATATATATATATATATATATAAAATCAATCTTACCTGGTCATTAGGAGAGCACCTTACAGCTATTGAAGACAAGCGTTCAATAATTCTTTCAGGTTATAAAAAAGGAATAATACCTATGTAAAGGCAGTTAAAGCCTTCATAAAATATTATCAAATAACCCCTAGATGTATTTCTGGATTTTCGGCAAGTCCACACACATAGTAAAAACTGGCGCACTTATGTTCTAACTGGTGTGTGAGTGAACGCTAACAGAAAATACTGATAAACGAAGCCAATGGAATTAGATAATATAGTCAAAATTGATGTGAAAATGATCAATAACACGCCAAAAATTGAATTGGTTCTTTAGTTTACCAAAGAGAAACAAAAGAGATAAGCTTTCGACAACACTGTCATCATCAGGTCTGTCGATCCATCCAAGCGATTAAAGGAATTAGATAATAAGGGAGCGTGAACCGTACTTACGGTTCATTCACATAACGTTGTAAATCCTGAACATAACTTTTTTCACGAGTTGTTGACTTTACAAATAAAATGACGTCTTTTTCAAAAAATGTCAAAATTTGATATTAAATCTATTCTTGTGTTTGAGAGCAGTTTTTTACTGAAAGACCCTTATATTTAATAATCATAATTTTCAATGGCTATTTGTAGAAAAACGAAAATAAATAATTCCTTCTTCTTTGTTATTGACGTTATCAAAACTCCAATAAACTTTTAAATTAAAAGAGGCAATTGTGGGTCACACGTCCTTGGTGATTTGGCGCAGCTTGAAGAAAAATGGAAAATCAAATTTGAAAAAATCAAATGTTTCTCTTTGTTGGATGCTCACTAGTGTTTTGATGCCTTGCTTATCAAATTAGTTTGAACTTTGAGACTTGCTCAGAAGGTTGCTTCAAGCCTGGCATATCACACCCCAGAAAATAGGCAAGGTAAGAAAGATAACTATCAGGACAATCACTGTTTGACAGTTCATCAACTTCAGTTCTGAGTTTCATTTTCCATAACATTGATAATGAAAAGTACCAGAGTCTGCTGTTCTGTCCCTCTACCATGCTTCAGGATTTGGTGGCATTAGATGTCTACACTGCTTCTATTCTGGTTCGCTGTTTATATCTTCCGTTCATGTAGGTACCTACCCATCTTGCAAGGGCTTGTGTAGGCATGCTTCATCAGCTTGAGAATCTATAGCCCATTGCAATGTGCTTTTGTCTGTATGTTTTAACTAAAATCAACTTATTATATAATATTTGATTTCATTTCATTAAAAGTATCCACGGCCGGCTGACGGCTGGCTGCCCACAGTTTGCCACGGCTGTGGGCGGCTGTGGCTGTGGAGCCACGGCTGTGGGGCGGCTAGGCTGTGGAAAATTGCAGCCGTGCAGAACTCTACAACACATTTCTTGAAATGCCTGTGAAGT